ATAACGTTGCAAAATGACCATCCTACCCAAAGCAATATGCAGAGTCAATGCAATCTCTAACAAAGTTTCACTGGAATTCTTCAAATAAATAGAACAAACATTACTGAAATTCATATAGAACCACAAAAGACCCTAACTAGCTAAAGCAAACCTGACACAAAAGAAGAAAATTGTGGTATCAGACCCCTGTAGTACAAAGCTATAATTATCAAAATAGAATGGTCCTGGAACAAAAGCAGACACACAGACCAATGGAATATAAAAATGGGGATTGGGATTATGACAATGATGTTTCATTCTGATTAACTTTCCTTTTCTCCTCTATCCCATTCATAATAAATCCACTGTATGCGGCCAATATTTTAGGTTTATTCTCCAAAGACACCAATATTATTTACTCTATCATGCTCAATTTCCTCACTTTTGGGCACTATTTGTCCTGTCCTGCTTATTTCTGATGTAAAAGACAAGAGTGGATTCAGAAGGTAAAGGATAGTTTCAAATGTCTCTTCCGTTTTAATCTCACAATCTTTCTTCTATTTGTTTTGTGGCTTGAGAATTTGATCTTAATGGGCTGCATCAACAGGTTGCCTTGTCTCTATTTTTTGGTTTGTTTGGCCAATATGGAGCTTTAGTAAGTGAACAGATGAGGGAAGATGATGACTAAGATCAGGTCATTGGAATTTATTCCTCCTCCTTAGAATCAAGTAGGCTAGCTGTATTTTTCTGCTGCGATTCTCCTAGGCTTTACATCCGGTTTCTGTCCTTGTCCCTTTAGCTTAAGAGTTGTAATGTTGGATCTGTCATTACTAGCCTGAGATATTCCCCTTTCCCCTTGCTTCCATTCATGCTTTGTAAAATTCACCTTTTGAAACTCTTTTCCAGTTACCTGACTTCACTGTGCTAACTTTTGTCCTGGCTAGATCCTGACACATACAAGTGTACAAAAATGAAAGAATACTGTTTTCTCATCTAACAACCTTGTGTTTTACCTAAAAATACTGAAGTAATTCTTGAAAAAGTTTTATTATGTTTTATTGAGATACAAATATACCACATGCTGTTTTGCTAGTCATAGTTTCAATCTGCAGTGTGTAGTGTTTGTGTTTAATTATTTAGCCTGTATTTGCTTTTTAGTGACATCAGAGAATATGACTATGTATGGATGTAACATAATTTCCTTATTCAACTTTAATTGATACATTAAATAATATTTCAGTTGTTTTACTTTTAAACTCTATTCATTGAACTTCTGTGGAACTAAATTTCTGTGTACTTCATAATTACTCAATACATGTTCCTTAACAAATACAGTCATTATGTATACTACTACAATTTAAATAATACTCAGAATTAAGTATCTAAGCTATTTGGGAATGATCAAGATGGCTGTGGTTAATTTTTTGAGTAAATATTTACTTATTTGCAGATAATTGTCACTTGTAATTGTAAAATACAATTTTTACAGTATTTATAAAATCCTGTACAAATACTACCAGTATTTGTAAAATATTCCAGTATTTGTAAAATATACAGCACAGTGGCACAAAAATATTAACCACAAAGCGAGGATTCCACTCTTATTTTCTCTTCTTCTCTAGGGTATTATTAGGAGCTTTTTTGGACATTTGGATGCTCTGGTCAAACCAAACAGATTCCTAGGGACCAGGTCCCCTGACCCATAAGTTCCTTCTTGACGCAAGTGTTTGTAGTATCACCTGATTTCTCTTTTAAAGCACTCCTAATCAGTTTCATTTCCACATATGGCAAGATTTAATGGCACTTTGCATTAGAAGTTAAAGGGAAATCTAAGACTCCATGAATGTGTTCTTTTCTTTAGCAGGTAAAATGGAAGAATGGGAATTTATAACAATAAGAAAAGTGGCTCTAGTGTCAGCGACGATACTTTTATTGGAATTGCTATGGATGAGAGTCATATCCTCAAGTACATGAATGATATCCTGTGCAGAGTAGATAGTGTCCGGGGTAACCAATTGACTAGTAGTGGAAAATAACTGTAAAAAGGGTATTGATATGTTGGAGAATGTTAACTGATGTTGACTTTTATGTATAGTTACACAGCAGTAGGGTGTGAAAAATATTATGCAGTCAAATGACTTATATTGTTTTAAATTCAGAACTCTGCTGCCAGTAATAATTACATGAATGTTTCTCACTCTCTGCAATTTACTAAACAGGTAAGAAAAAATGGTTATTCAAGACATCAATAAAACAGGGGTAACAGTAATTTTTTTTCCAAAAGAGATGAAGTACAAATTGATGCTCTTATGTGAAAAGGAAAGGAAATTTAAGTAATGGGTACATTTGCAAGATGGGAGTGTCTTGTAGGCATCTGAACAGAAGCGTGATCCAAAGACCAAGCTGACTAAATCATTTCCAGTGTAAATGTTATGTCAAAATATGTGGAAATTTACAAACAGAATTAAAACTACTGAGACATAAAATTAGTTTTTCTGCTCTCTTCAGTATTTCACAACTTCAGAACTTTAAGTGTAGATTTTGTCTCTGAACCTTAACTGGAATTCAAAAAGTTTTAGAGAAAAGTTGATAAATGTGATTTTTTTTCCAAAGGGGAGGAATATGAGAAAAGATCCTAAGGGGAAACATGCCAAAAAAATTACATTTTTGAGTCTTGGAAACAGAAGGTGAAGAGGGTATCAGCTTGTTGAGATTATATTTATGAAAATTTAATCAGAAGGGACACTAAACACTATTTATAATGTACACAGTTATAAAAAGTGAAAGAAATGGTTTTAAGTAATGGGAGGCTGGCTTTTACGTAGGTCTGAAGAAAGATTTTGTGAACATCTGAAAGATAAAATGGACATTTTAGTTAAGGGGGGTTCTAACCTTTCGATGTCTTAAGATTGAGAAGGAAATTTATATGAATGATGATTTAGATTTTCAAACTTAGGAGATATCTTTAGATCTCTCTTATCTTGATGATTTTATTATTTGGAAACCAGACATCAATAATTTATTAATATAAAGGATTAAATATCTGGGAATGTGTTTGTGGAGGTGGGTCCAGAGAAAGGATTGCCACAATAAAAAGCAAAGCGCTAATAGACTAAAGTGAATGGTTATAGTGCATATATTTGAGGAAAAAAAAGTTATCTTACATATAAAACTACCTATAAAGAACTAGGAATAGGAACACAAAGGAGAAAGGTGTGAATCTGCTTAGAGTATGAAGAATTGGTAGGAAAGGGATTTTAAACATTATAGCCTGTGTTTACTGTGATGTATGGATTACATTCTCTCAGAGAGAAGAGCAGAGAGTGGGGATGGTGAAAGGGAAGTAGGGTAAGAAGCACTAATATATTTAAAGGCATGGAGGTTTATGAAGTATGTGATATTGTCAGATAATAAACAGGTATTACTAGATCATGGGTCGCAATAAAGGAAGTAGGAAAAAGAGATAGAAAATTAGGTGGAAAGAACCAGACTCCAAACTGCTTTGAATGGTCTATTACAAGGTTGTAGTTCAACTGGATGACATATGTCATCCATCACTTTATGGGGCTTGCAGCCTAGTTGGGAAGAAGAAACTAAACAAATAGTAAAAAATAAAAGTTGTGGTATGTACTGCTAAGAAATAGTGTTAATTAAGAGCAAATCAATTGAAGTTAGGCATGATAGTTTAACTTATATCACTAACAAAACATGAATATTGTACTAATCCTAAATACTTATTGAACTATTTTCTGTTGTGGAAATTTGATGTTTGCAACCATTAGTGTTTTATTTTCTTGTTCATCATTCATTATGCTTTGTGTTGAGTGCTCTTTTGGCAAGCAAATTACAAAGAGAAGTAAACAAAATCTGCTGAATGCCTAATGCAGTCATGTGATTAAGATACATTAATTATTTTACCAAAAAATGCATAGATGAGTAATCTAAGGTTCAAAGAGTCTGAGTCACTTGCCCAAGACCAACCTGTCAGTGGTTGACCCAAAGCAAATATCCTGATAATCTAAATCCCAAACCCATATTCTTTCTATTAAACTATGCTGTTTCTCTAAATAAGAGTAAAGGATTACAAGATAGTGTGATAAGTCCTCTTGTAGAGTTTTGTACAAAATAATTTCCACTAGATCATGATGCATGTTATGGTTTTAAACATTCCAAATCATGTGCTAACTGCCCTAAGACAGTGTTTCTGAAGCTATCCATGTTGAAGGATAAGCCTTTTTCTTTAATTTTCTGATTTTCATAGACTAATTACTTTAGTAAAAGACAAAATCAGAAACCTGGGTATCAAATTGCTGGAGAACTTGCTAATACTCACATTCAGTTTCTGTATTCAATTTGCATAATATTATGCAAACTCTAACAGGTAGTTCATGAACCTGCACATTTCTTTGGACTATTTTTTTATTGCTTCAGAGAACCCACTCTTGAATAAGTCATAAATTGCCTTTAAGAAGCTTAGTTTACTTGGTGAATTAGAACTGTACTCAGTTTATTGTAATACAATAAAACAAATACTAGTAATAATGAAGGAAGATTTCATAAATACAGTAAACAAGTAAGTTTGAAGATAAATACATTTGCAGTACTAGGAAAATAGGATTGATCTCACTGTGAGATGAAGGTTTAGGCTTAGAAGGGTTTGTATTAGTGACTATATCTGTTATTTGGGCAGGTTCATATTAGAACAAATGTATAAAGATTTGGGTTAGAATTCCTGTTATTCACATTGATGATCTTGAATCTCATGAGTAATATCATGGCATCAGCCTTAGTAGGAAGAAGAGGGCTTTTAAATGCAGAGATAAATTGGTGGTGGGGAGCTCTACATGATAGCTAACAATCTATCTGTATGATCTCATTTCAGAAATCATAGGCATATTAGGCCATTTTAATGCTAAAGTAGAATTAGAAATTCATCACTAAGACTATTAATTTATAACTAACATATCATAATTCATATTTTCACCTATTGTCGTCCTCAGTCATCACTGGCAACAAAGTCAATGGAGAGGGCAAATCACTCTTTTGTGACAGAATTTGTTTTCCTGGGACTCACCAATTCCTGGAAGATCGAAATTTTCCTTTTTGTGTTCTCCTCAACCCTTTATGTTTCCTGCATAATGGGAAACTGCCTCATTATGCTCACTGTGATTTCTGACCCTCACTTACACTCCCCCATGTACTTTCTGTTGGCCAACCTCTCTTTCATTGACCTTGGAGTTTCTTCTGTCACTTGTCCTAGGATGATTTATGACCTGTTCAGAAAACCTAAAATCATCTCTTTCAGTAGCTGCATTACTCAAATATTCTTCATCCACCTTATTGGTAGTATGGAGATGGTGCTTCTCATTGCCATGGCCTTTGACAGATATGTGGCCATATGTAAGCCCCTCCACTACCTGACCATCATGAACCCACAGATGTGCATCTTCTTTGTAGTGGCTGCCTGGATAATTGGCATCATTCATGCCATAGTTCAACTGGTTTTTGTGCTAGACTTATCCTTCTGTGGTCCTAATGTGCTGGATAGCTTTTACTGTGATCTTCCTCGGTTCATCAAACTTGCCTGCACAGATACCTACAAACTACAGTTCATGGTCACAGCAAAGAGTGGATTCATCTCTGTTGGCTCCTTCATCATACTGCTCATTTCTTATGGTGTCATCATTCTCACTGTTCAGAAACACTCTTCGGGTGGTTCTTCCAAGGCTCTGTCCACACTTTCAGCTCACATCACGGTGGTAGTCTTGTTCTTTGGTCCACTGATATTTTTCTATACATGGCCATCTCCCTCCACATACCTCGATAAGTTTCTGGCCATCTTTGATGCTATTATCACTCCTTTCCTGAATCCTATCATTTACACATTCAGGAATCAAGAAATGAAGGTGGCAATGAAGAGAGTATGTAGTCAGTTAGGGAATTTCAGGAAGATCTCTTAAGTGACACATTGTGAAGAACTCTTGTTTATTGTTGGTGTTTATTATTGTTGATGTTCAAACTCAGAAACTTTTTTTGTCCTACCTTGATTTGGTTATACACACTGATACTAATTTTTTGTTCATTTCAGAGAGAGGGGTGTTAACTTTTGAAGCAAGTATATATATATATATATACACACATATATATATAAAAGTATTTATAAGAAAAGATTATAATAATCTGGAACCTAAATTCCTAAGGGATAATATTTATATTAGTTAAGGTTTAGACATATGTAATAGGACAAGCTTTCTAAGGTCATCAACCTGGGAGAAGTATCTTCCAATCCATTCTAAATACAATTTGACCTTATATTAATTTTCTCCATCTGCAAACACCCTGTATCCAAATATGATCACATACACAGCTTTGTGGGGGAGGTGTTATATAGGATTTCAATATATCTATTTGATAGAAATCAACCCACACATGTAGTATTACTAGTACAGGTATCTGAGAACAAGAATAGTTGTAGCATAGTTACTGGTCAGTTAGATAACAAACTAAATTTTATTTTATTTTTAAAAAAGATTTATTTATTCCTGCATACAAGAACTGGGGTGTAAGCCAGAAGTGTGGGGGGTGAGAAGATTCACCCGAGAGAGTGGGGAGCAGAACAGGAGGATCTACTGAAATACAATGCTGAGGGGAGCAGCGGGCAAGGCAGGAGAGGTCTGCTGCACCATGTGGGTTGCTCTTTGGCCAGCTGGGGATTGAATTTGTGCTGCAGTGGGTGTTGATAGCTTGACAGCATTGTCTTTATTTTTTTTTTTTTTTTTTTAATATTAAATTTTATTTTTATATTCCCCCATACAATTACAAACGCCCCATTCTGACCCAATCCTTCCCCTCCCGCCCCCCACCCCCAAAAAGTGTCTCTGGTTCATAGTTTTTTGTTGATTTTGATTTTCACTTTCTTATATTCATTTTCCTGGTCCCTTATTTAAGTTTTCTAGATTCCTGCTATGAGTGAGACCATCCGGTATTTTTCTTTTTCTTTTTGGCTTATTTCGCTGAGCATGATCCCTTCCAGTGCCATCCATGTTGCTGCAAATTGCATGTGTTTATCTTTTTTGAATGCTGAGTAATATTCCATGGTATATATGTACCACATCTTCTTGATCCAGTCATCTATTTTTGGGCATTTGGGTTGTTTCAAAGCTTAGCTATTGTAAACAGTGCTGCTATAAACATAGGAGTGCAGGTGCTCTTTGGAATTGATGTTTCTGTGTCCTTTGGGTAAATACCTAGGAGTGGAATTGCTGGATCATATGGAAGCTCTATGTTTAGTAGGTCCAGAAATCTCCACACAGCTCTCCATAGTGGTTGGACCAGTTTGCACTCCCACCAACAGTGCACAAGAGTTCCTTTTTCTCCACATCCTCGCCAACATTTGTTGTTGCTAGTTTTTTTAATATGTGCCATTCTCACTGGTGTGAGATGGTATCTCATGGTAGTTTTGATTTGCATTTCCCTGATTACAAGTGATGTTGAACATTTTTCATATGTCTGTTGGCCATTTGCATTCCTCTTCAGAGAAGTTTCTTTTTAGCTCTTCTGCCCATTTTTTGACTGGATTATTTTCTTTGTTGTTGCTGAGTCTCATCAGCTCTTTGCAGATTTTGTGATCAGTCCTTTATCATTAGTGTTGGGTGCAAAAATGTTCTCCCAGTTGGTGGGGTTTCTCTTTGTTTTTGTTATTGTCTCTTTTGCTGTGCAGAAGCTCTTTAATTTGATGTAGTCCCAGCTGTTTATCTTTCTCTTCACTATCACTGCTTTGGGTGATGTGTCTGTAAAGATGTCTTTGATGTGCAAATCCCGTAGTGTTTCGCCTATATTTCCTTCTATGTATTTTATGGTTTCAGGTCTTATGTCTAGTTCTTTAATCCATTTTGAGTTGATTTTTGTGTATGGTGTGAGGTAGTGGTCAAGCTTCATTCTTTTGCATGTAGCGACCCAGTTTTCCCAGCACCATTTATTGAACAAACTTTCTTTGCTCCAATGCATAGTCTTTGCTCCTTTGTCAAAGATTAGTTGACCATAAATCTGTGGGTTTATTTCTGGATTTTCTATTCGATTCCATTGGTCTGTATGTCTGTTCTTGTTCCAATACCATGCAGTTTTGATGATTATGGCTTTGTAGTATAGTTTGAAGTCTGGGAGTGTGATGCCTCCATTTCCTTCTTTTTTTTTCAGTAGAGCTTTGGCTATTCGGGGTTTTTGGTGATTCCATATGAATTTCATCAATAATTGTTCTATTTCTTTGAAGAATGCCATTGAGATTTTGATTGGAATAGCATTGAATCTGTATATTGCTTTTGGTAGGATGGCCATTTTAATAATGTTTATTCTTCCAATCCATGAGCAGGGGATGTCTTTCCATTTCTTTGTGTCTTCTTCTATTTCTTAAAGGAAAAAAGGGAGAAAGCACAAATACACAGAATCATAAATGAAAGAGGAGAAATCACAACGGACACAGCAGAAATCAAAAGAATAATCAGTAACTACTATGAACAGTTATATGGAAACAAGTTCAACAATCTAGAGGAGATGGACAAATTCCTACAACTCTACAATCACCCAAAGCTAGATAAAGAAGAAATAGAACACCTAAACAGACCAATTACAAGCAGCGAAATTGAAATGGTAATCAAAAACCTCCCCAAAAACAAAAGCCCAGGACCTGATGGATTTACAAATGAATTCTACCAAACATTCAGAGACGAATTAGTGCCTATCCTTCACAAACTCTTCCAAAAAATTGAGAAGGAAGGGACAATACCAAACACGTTCTATGAAGCCAATATTACACTAATACCAAACCGAATAAGGACAACACAAAAAAGGAAAACTATAGGCCAATCTCCCTAATGAACACTGATGCAAAATCCTCAATAAAATTTTAGCTATCAGAATCCAACAATGTATCCATAAGATAATTCACCACGACCAAGTTGGATTCATTCCAGGGGCACAAGGATGGTTTAACATCCGAAAATCAATCAACGTTATCCAACACATCAACAAAAAGAAATATAAAAACCATATGATAATATCAATAGATGCTGAGAAAGCTTTCGACAAAGTGCAACACCCATTCATGATAAAAGCCCTTGAAATTCTTGGGATACAAGGAACATACCTCAACATCATAAAGGCCATCTATGACAAGCCAACAGCCAGTATCACTCTCAATGGTGAAAAGCTGAAAGCAATTCCATTAAGATCTGGAACAAGACAAGGATGTCCACTCTCACCACTGCTTTTCAATATAATACTGGAAGTCCTAGCCAGAGCAATAAGACAAGAGAAAGACATCCAAGGAATCCAAATAGGAAAAGAAGAAGTCAAACTATCACTATTTGCAGATGATATGATAATATACATAGAGAACCCCAAAATCTCCACAGAAAAACTAATTCAACTCATCAATCAATTCAGTAAAGTGGCAGGATACAAAATCAACACGCAAAAGTCAGTAGCCTTCCTATACACAAACAATAAATCTGAAGAAGAAGAAATCAAAAAAACCACCCCTTTTATTATTGAAACAAAAAAAATCAAATATTTGGGAATAAATCTAACAAAAGAGGTAAAGGACCTATACAAAGAAAACTATAAGACAGCATTGTCTTTAACCTCTGTACCACCAGAAAGGCCCTAACCAAATTTTAAAAGTAATGGAACATATAATGTTAACATAAAGCACAAAAGCTATTCTTGTGAATGAGAAAGGCCTCTGTTTATAGGAAGATTACCCAGAAGGCAGAGAATAACATTTATTACCTTTAGTCAACAACAGAATGAATATACCAAAATAAATTTGTCATGTCATTTGACAGAGAGAAAATCAGATCACAGCCTTGCTTCAATATTGTATTTGATGGCAAGCATTCCAAATTAAAAAAAAGAAAACAGTAACACCTTACGTGTCTCATGACAGATGAGTCAATTAAAGAGATGTGGTATGAATACACAATGGAATACAACTCAGGTACACAAATGGTGAACTCTGGCCATTTCCTACAATATATATGGAACTGAAGGGGATTATGCTAAATGAAATAAGTAGGAAGGAGAAAGATAAACACTGGGTGACTTTACTCATGTGGAATATAAGGAAAAATAAGGGAAAAGATGAAGTAAAACCAAAAGAATGCTAGAAATCTGTAGAATTGAGACTACCAGAAGTGGAGCTTTGAACTGATGAGGAAAGAAAAGAAGGCGCCCAATGGAGGAGGAATACAATAGTTTATACAGTGTTGTAAACCATTGTTATCTCAATAAAAAAATAATAGCGTAATAAACATAAAACTATCAAAGCTGAGCTGTGTATAGTTTGACAAAATATTCACATATATCAGTGCTTGTTTTAACTCACTATTTGAAAATATGTGTTTTTCTTCCTTGATAAACAATCAATTGTATACTCAATTATTTTTTTCACTATAATTACTTCAAGTACAATCTATGTTATCCATTTTGTGATTTTTATTGCACATTACTGCTTTTTAATTCAGACAATAAGTAGCCAATTACTAAAATACTACAGCCTGACAGTAGCATAAGTGGTAACATTGACATAAATAAAAGAGACATCAGCATAGAACTGGCCTCAATTACTAATATAATTAGAACAAACGGGTTTGCAGGCAAGGAGCAGCAGGTTGGAGATGGTAATATGGATGGAACATTACTAAGGGGAGACATTATGGGTAGGGAGAAATTTTGCTAAATTAACCTAAATGGATTCTTGCCGAAGGCAGACCAGCTTCTGCAACATGAGTTCAATCCCCGTCCAGGGAGATGACCCACATGGTGCAAGCAGACCTCTACTGACTCACCTGCTGCTCCCCTCAGCAGTGTATTTCAGTCAATCCGCCTGTTCTGTTCCCCACTCTGTCTCTGGTGAATCCTCTCAACCCCCCACCCCCGCATCTCTGGCCTGTACCCCAGCTCT